CAACCATTGTGTTGTCTTCTATGATTTCCATGTCTCATTGCTTTAACCAATACCCAGCTCCCAAAGTGAAATTTCTACCTTTTCTAAAGACATAAAAGGCTTAAGTTTTCTTGACTTGCCTGCAAAATATATATTTAAAGACTACATTGGCCAATCAAGGCAATTCCCTAAAGGAAACCTTTGATAAAAAGAAAATTGCTGGACCTCTCTGGTGGCTCAAGAGTTAAAGTCTCAACGCTATCAAGCTCTCTGCAGCCACTGAAGCATGATTTCTATCCAAGCCATGGAACTGACCTACATGGCACAGCAGACCTCTCCTGTCTTTCCTGCTGCTCATCTCAGGAGTGTATTTCTGCCAATCCTCTTTGTCTTTGGTGAATTATTTTATCCCCTGCAACTCTAGCTTACACCCCAATTGTTCTATGCATAAGTAAAAATGAATCTTTAAAACAAAAGAAAATTGCTGCTTGCTGGCATTAATTGCATACGTCAGTTCAGAGTGACATGCTCTAATGATTTAGTCCGACTTGTAATTAGGGCTTGTAATACAGGCAGCGTTACAGTATCATTTTATCATTTTTACTAACCAAACCCTAAAAACTAACAGGAACTATTTCATTACTTATTCAAATATTTCACTTAGAAGTCTCAGATTTGTTCTTTTTAGTAAATTGAATTTAAACTGTTAAATTGAAGTAGGATTAAATACTTGGTGGAAGGATGTCAGAGTGCCTTGTTTCAGAGATTTAACCTTGCACTGGACAGGCACTGCAGCAGTCGACTTTACTAGTTCTTTACTAAGGACAGACCTACTTCTTGCTCATGTTACATGTTAGCACCTGTGTATGGCTGAAGCACTGAGCCATGTGACTTCTTCTAAGGCCTAAGGAGAGGGATCAGAGGATTTGGGACATACCATTCCCTTGGTGTAGGGAAAGAGTAAGCACACTGGCAAACACTCTCAAAGTCTCCACTCAGAGCTGTTTTATTGTCACTTCCACTCACATTTCATTGGCCAAAGCAAATTCCTGTTTGCAAGTTTTGTGATTCCATTATGACATTGTGTGATGAGAGGAGGAAAGAAGCCTGAAAATGTGCTCAGGTAGGTGTGGCAAGTCAGACACACAAGGGTAGGGCTTTTCCTCTAGAGGAAAGCAAATATTTGGGAACAATATGTCAATGAACCACAGGCATTTAGTGGATTTACCTTTTCACTCATTTATGTAAATATGATTTTCAGGTTTTGCCTCTTTTTTCCTTTTCAAGAATGGTGTTTTTCTAACTAAGTAAAATAACAGCAAGCCTTGAAGTCCTTTTAAAAGAGAGCTCTGTCTCCATTTCAGACAGAGCTTTTACTGGGTCTTATTATGTGAAGCCAACCATCTCCAGCTGGTGTTTATCTTCATCAGGTCTCTGACTGTCATTTGCAAGCAAATCCTCTGGTTCTGTGTACCGAAATGAGAGCAGGAGAGGGAGGAAAGTATTCCATGTTTATGTACAAATACTTCCTGTCTTCTACCTGTCAGGTACTCTTTTAGGAGGGGATGGAGAACAAAGGATATCAACTCCTGTTTGAGCTTATACTAAGTAAAAAAGCAAGAGGGTGTTAGTAGCAAATGTTATGAAGACAAAGGAAAAGGGAGAAAGACTGGGCAAGATGATCTGAAGTGACATTTGAGCAGACCTCTTGTTAAAATGAGGGCATGAGTAATGAATATTCGAAAGGAAAAGTATTTTCCTGTGAAGTTCAAAGGCCATAAGGTGGATATATGCTTGGCAGGACTACGTAACTTCAGGGAGAACAGTGTGACTGGAGCACAGTGAGAAAGTAGTAAGAAATAGATTATCATGGAATGATGTGTACGGGTGGTGACTTTGGCTTTTATTCAAAGTATGATGGGAAGAAGTAGGTGGTTTGGAGCAAGATCTGATTTATTTTGAAAAGATTATTCTGGTTATTGGTGTAGAGAATAAGAACTTCGGAGAACAGCAAGAAAGAAAGCAGCAAAGAAGGTTCTATTTTGGGGGGAGAGGGTGTTATATTTTTTAGTTTTTTCCCATAGTAGCATGTTAATCTTAATATTTCTTTCCCCAACTGTGCTACTTAATATACATGGATTTAGAAGATTCATATTTTGGCCTCTCTGGTGGCACAAGGGGCTATGTCTTAGCACTATGAAGCTATCCAAAGCAGCATGAGTTTGATCCTGGCCAGGGAGCTGACCCACATGGCTCAGCAGACCTCTCCTAGCTTGCCCACTGCTTCCCTCGGCAGTGTATTTCAGTCAATCTGTCTGTTCTGTTCCCCACTCTGTTTCTGGTGAATCCTCTCACCCTCATGCCTCTGGCCTACATCCAGCTCTTATATGTATAGGTAAATAAAATAAATTTAAAAAAAATCATCTTTGTAAGACTTGTGACTACAATGTGATATTAGAAGGAAGGGGAAAAATCCAACACCAAATCATTTTATTTATTTTTTTAAGATTATTTGTGCATACAAGAGCTGGAGTATAGGCCACAGATGCTAGGAAATAAAAGGATTCTCTAGAGACAGAGTGGGGAGCAGAACAGGAAGAACAACTGAAATACACTGCTGAGGGGAACAGCAGGTGAGACAGGCGAGATGCCATAGGGGTCAGCTCTCTAGTTAGGGATGGAACTCTTGTGCTACAGTGGCTGCAGATATCTTCATAGTGCTGAGACTTAACCCCTTGCACCACCAGGGATGCTGACCAAATCATTTTATTTTAGAAAAGAGAACTTACAATGCACACATTTGTTGGGAAAAACTTAAAATAGAGAAAGATAAAAGCACTTAATGTATGTCTAAAATCTGTTATTAATTCAGGGAAGACCTATGTCATAGATTAAATCAGTCAGACACTGACTTAAAAAGCCCTCTTTGTCTAAAGAGCAAAGGAAAGAAGCCATATTACAAAGGAATGTCTTTTATAAAATAAAGCATATATGATGGCCATGATTAGCTGCTTTGATTTTTTGGAAACTCCATCTTTTCAGTTTCCCCAGAATGATGTCCCAAAGATATAAAGGACTTCACAAGAGACCAGCTCACTAGCCAGAAACATATTATAATGTATGTAATATATTAACATGTAATCAAATATTATATATATTATGTATAATGAATAAATTTATTAATGTAATTAAAATATATCACATAATATATTAACTTATAATGAAACTATCAAGCAAATACAGATATTTCCCTCATGCAGTTAAAGTACTATATCACTATACTTTTCTTTTAAAGATTTATTTATTTATGCACACAGAATTGGAGTGCAGGCCAGAGGTGCAGGGACAGTGAGAGGATTCAACAGAGACAGAGTGGGGAGCAGAACAGGTAGATTGATGAAGTACACTGCTGAAGGGAGCAGTGGGCAGGTCAGGAGAGGTCTGCTGCATCATGTGGGTCAGCTCCCTGGCAGGGAAGGAACTGCTTGAAAAGGCTGCAGTTTGCTTGGCAGTGCTACACTTTAATCTGTTGTACCACCAGGGTGGGCCCTATATCCATATACTATGTTAGAGATTTTTTTCACGTATTTTGGACATGGTCACAGATTATCTTCTTTACAGAATTATGAGTGTTAGTGACCCATCAGTCTGATTAGCCCTGGTAAGCATGCTAGAATTTGAGTCAGGAAACCTGTGCTTCATTTCTGGATCTCTAGTTACTGGCTCTGCAAATCAATTAGCTTTTCTAAATCTTAGTTTTTTTTTCATCTGTAGAAATGGAGGATGTGGATATATCCTTTGTAGGGTTATTTAGAGGACTGGATGAGATACTACACATTAAGTGCTGACACAATTCTTTGTGTAGTACTCTGTAAATAGTAGTTGAACCTCAATTCAGCAGGAAATTTCAATCAGCATTTTATCTCCAGTAATGTCTGGGAAATTGATTCACATTAAGATAATACAGAAAATAAGATGTGATGTGCAAGATTCAATGTTGACTGTCTTCTAAATGTATTTGCCATTTAGGAGGTTTTGTTTTGATCATTGGTGATCTTCATTGCTGGAATTAGTATCTGTCAAATGCAAGAAATGCCAGGGTGTTTACGCAGGGTTTGTTGAGGGGAAGAAGTAGATGGCAGGAATGGCTTGAATATTAGTTGGTTTTCACACTGGGTGGGGTTGGAATGCATCTCAAGCAGGCACTTCAGTCCTCTTCCTGGCTGCATGCATACAAAGGTGTGTCAAAGCTGAGCATTACTCCAGGGAATGGTTTACTCCTGCGGAGGCCAGGATAATGAGCAGTTCTTGACTAAATGAATGGAAGGCCATTGCTGGTTCCTTTACTCAAAAGAGCAGTAATTTCATAGGTCCCTGCCTAAAAACGATCCCTACAGTATTCTTATTCTGTAGGTTTTATCTTCCAGACTACCAGCCTACCCAGTCAGTCTGGAGCAGCGCTAGTTTTTTTAATCCCACCATTAGCCTGGCTGGCATCACAGCCTTAATGTAACGCTTGAACAGGAAAAAGGAGGAGGATGGTATGAGGAGGAAATTGCAAGGGCATCCGTCACTGACATCATCCCTGGTTTCCTACCTAAGGAAATCACCCTTGAGGTGACATCTACCTGATTTATGTCCCTTTTGTGCCTTAGTTTTTGTTTACTTTTCTTTCAGTTTTCACAAGTTGAAATTCTTGTCCTTATATTAACAACCGAGGATACACCACAAACCCTGCCTTGAAGAGGAAAACTAAGTTCAAGAACCTCTAGCTGTTGTTCAGAGTTCGCAGAGTCTCAAGTAGACCTTTTCACAAGTAGAGAGCATTTTCTCAAACTAGAGCAAGGCTAGATATCCGAAACCTCTTGCGTTGTAAAGACCAGGCTCAGCGGGGAGACGCACTCTCCCGACTTGAACTACAACTCCCAGACGTCTTCGCGACTTGGGCGTGCGCACTTGCGTCAGCGGAGGAGGGGAAGCAGCGGCACCCACTGCTGGTCGCGTCGGGGGAGCTACCGGCGGGCGGACGGGGCAACTCCCTAGGAGGCAGACGCTAGCAGACGGCGAGTGCTGGGAACCGGGCAGCGAACCGTCCCCGCGGGTCTCTGGAGGAGGTCAGCGGCACCAGCGTGCGCCAGCAGGTAAGTTCAGTCGGGTGCTGTCCAGGAAGTCCGTCTGCGAGCGCGGGCAAGGAGCACACCGGACATGGTGGCTGCTGAAGCCGCCCCACTCTGGTCTCCCTCCACCTCGGGAAGCGGGAGCACGCTGGAGGCTGCTTCGGGGCGAACGGTCCCGGGTCCGGGGGCTGCGGGGGTACCCTGGGCGTCGCCCGCCATGGAGGCGCGCGAACCCGGAGTTGCTGATGAATCACTCCGGTGCCCGGCCTCTTGGGTTCGGGACCGGCCCCTTCTCTCGCCGGCGCCCGCGCCTGCGGTGGCGGTGCGAGCTCCCTGTGCCTCGCCTCTCCTTCCACGGTGTAACTCGAGAGACCATCATCTTAAAAGGTTTTTCTCACCGACGGTTTTTCAAAAAGTTGTGGTAGTTGAAAGTTGGAAAGAAATGAGAAAGCTTAGGGCACACCCTTTTTTTTTTAAAGTTGAAATCTGGCTTGTGCATTCGCCGTCTTGATCTATCTGCTCTTAGAATGAATTCCTGGCTCCCGTGCAGCACAGCTGGGTCCGGCTGTAAAGTTTGTGTGTTGGTTTGTTTTGAGGACGTGACTGGGTCGTTATATTTTTGCGTTGGTGTGTTTCCTCTGCTACCCTGCATTCTGATTACAAACAAAGGGGAAACAGCCGCAGGGTGTGTGTGTGTGTGTGTGTGTGTGTGTGTGTGTGTTTTAATGTTAAGAATTGCGTTTCCTACTAGCCCTTGGCTGCCCTTAAAACCAAGTCATCTGGTAAAGAACGCTGCAGTAAAACTTATCCCGGGAGATCATATTTGAACAGGAAATAAGCCTGTGGAGATTTAAGTTAGTTAATGTGCGGTCTCTCTTGGTTTGTAACATTTTCATGCAGCTCATGTTTCTTTTTCTGAGAATCCTTCAGATTGATTTTTCTGCAGATTAATTGATTTATCAAGAGATGTTAGGTTTAGAAACAATTTTACCTAACCTCAGTTACCTTTGCTAGTCTCCTTTTTTTAATCCTTGGCACCTTTTTACCCTACTACTTCCTTAAAAGCTCACTATTCACTTTATTGTAGCACTTAGAATCCCCTTCCTAACACAGTCCTGCAAAATTAAAAAAAAAATTAAAATATGAGAACAATATGTAATTACTCTTTCAGCCTCCTTACTTTTGAACCTCAGGATTTTTACCTTGCTCATCTTTATTTTTTTTTTACTATCCAAAAGGATAGGGTTATTATAAAAAGGGAGAGAAGAGTAAAGATCACTTGCATAGACACAGCAGGCAGAAAGAGTTACCCAGGGAAGGGACAGGTTTGCTAAAAGAGAGACTTTCATAGGCATAGGACTGCTGCTTATTTTTTAAAATGAAGTACTATTGTTTTACATCCTTGTTAGTATTTTGACACTAGTTTGTTCATCTTTTTTTTTTTAAAGATTTATTTTTGCTTACAGAAGTGGGGTACAGGCAGAGGTGTGTGTGGGGGTGTGTGTGAAAGAATTCACTAGAGACAGTGGTGAGCAGAACAGACAGATGTACTGGTCTACACTGTTGAGGGGAGTAAGCTGGTGAGACAGAAGAGGTCTGCTGTGCCATGTGGGTCAGCTCCCTGGCCAGGGATGGAACTGTGCTGCAGTGGCTATAATAGCTTCATAGAGCTGTGAGGGTCCTAGTTTGTTCACCTTTTTTTTTTTAAAAATTTATTCATGCATACAGAACTGGGGTACAGGCCAGTGGTGCAAGGGGTGAGAGCACTCACCAGAGACAGAGTGGGGAGCAGAACAGGCAGATTGAGGAAGTACCCTGCTGAAGGGAGCAGTGGGCGGGCCAGTATGGGTCTGCCATGCCATGTAGGTCACTTCCCTGTCCTGGGTGGAACTCAAGCTGCAGTGGCTGAGATAGCCTCACAGTGCTGTGCTATTAACCTGTTGGGGCACTAAGGAGGGACCCTACTTTGTTCATCTTTAAAGTGAGGTTGTTGGACCAGATGACCCCTGGATTTTTCCAGTTCTGAATATTTCTGATTTTTAAAAGTTCCTTTATTTTATTCTTTCAGGAAACATTGCGCATATGTATTATGCCATACTTTGTGCTTGGCATTAAGGAACAAAAATGAGGTTGGATGTTACTGATTTGTTGCTCAGTATATATTATTAATTATATTTTTTAATAACTAATTCCAAGGTTTTGTCATATACCCTTCAGATCATATAGCTCTGTGTTTAGTTACTTCACACAGAGTTAAATATAGACAGGTCAAAAGCCATTACAGTGATCAACTTCACTGTAATCAAAGAATGTTTAAGTCCCAATGGCTGGCCTTTGTAAATAAAATATAGTTTCAGTACAACAGAAGGAATCTGAATGATGCAGGGTGGTGTTTCTCAAACTTTTAACATCATAAATTACCTAAGATCTTGTGGATTTGAAGTGGGGCCTTAGTATCCACTTTCCTAATAGTTCTGATAGTTACTGAGGGAGGTCACACTTAGAATATCAAAGGTTGGGAGATGTTTTAAGGGGTATATAGTAACACTGTTAGTATATATACCAGTACCAGTAGTAGATTTATAGTACTGGCTTTTTCTCTCTCTTAAAAAAAAAAATCATACTCTTTCTAATAATTCTTTCATAAGCTTTTTTCCCTGTTACTTACACCCCGCCCCCACACACACATCCTTCCTTCCTTCCTTCTTTCTCTTGCTGGAACACTGTTTTTTCTCTCCTCTTCCACCTTCAACTAATAGACTGTCTACCTGTATGTGTCTGTAATCCATTAGGTTATATACTATGATGAATAAAGATGGTAATAATCGAAAGTGGCAACTAGTTTGCAAATGTTGACTAAGTAGTTTAGAATTTCATTTAAAACAAAAATTAACCTATATCTTGAAGCAGTGATATTTTGTATTTTTTTCTATTAAAAATTATTTTATTAAATTAAATTAATTTTTTACTTTTTTTGACATTTTGTATTTTTTTATTGATATATAAACAGTAAGTTAACATCCAATAAAATTCACGTCTCCTACCAAAATAAGACAGCATTTTTATCACCAGAAAAACTTCCTCATGCCCCTTTCTAGCCATTGCCCTTAATAGCTGTTTTTCAGAGGCAAGCACTCTCTTACTCATGTTTCCAACACCACGGATTTGTTTTGCCTAATCTTTGACTTTGTGTAAATGGAGTCATACAGTTGCGTGTGATTTTTGTGTGTGTATCAGGTTCCTTTGTGTAACATGTTTTTTGAAATTCATCTATGTTGTTTTGTGTATCAGTGGTTTGTTCTGGTTTTACTACCAAATGGTATTCCATTGTATGAATATATAACCCAAATTTGTGTATGTTTTCTTTGTGATGGAAATTTGGGTTATTTCCAGGTTTTGTCTATTGTGAATAATAATGTTGGGAACATTCTTTCACGAATCACTTGTAGATGTGTTTTCATTTCTCTTGATAAATACCTAGGAGTGGAATTACTGAATCACAGAGTAGATATGTTTATCTTTATTAAAAAATTGCCAGTTGTCTAAATGGTTTGTATGTGAACTCAGGTCCAACATTTTTAATGACTCCGATTTTTAGTACTGCAAGCCTTTTTTAATTTAGCCACAATAGAGAATATAAAATGGTACCACATGATCTTAATTAGCATTTTCCTGGTGATTAAGGATGTTGAATGCTTTGTCATGCGCTGTCATACTGTATTTTCTTTTGTGAAGTATTTAAGTCTTTGCCTTTTTTTTTTTTTTTAGATTTATTTATTTGTGCATACAGAACTGGGGTACAGGCCAGAGGCTCAGGGGCGGTGAGAGTCTTCACCAGAGACAGAGTGGGGAACAGAACAGGCAGATCCACGAAGTACACTGCTGAGGGGAGCAGCAGGCGGGTCAGGAGAGGTCTGCCACACCATGTGGTCACCTCCGGGGCAGGCGGGAATCGAACTCATGCCAAAACGGCTTTAGATTCTCAGTGCTGTGCTTTAACCTGCTGCGCCACCAGGGAGGGCCTGTTTTGTTTTTTTTTTTTCCATTGGGTGGTTTACTTACTGTTATTTAAGGCATTCTTTATATTTTCTAAGTATAAGTCTTTTGTCAGATATATGTGTTGGCGTTATTTTTACCCAATTTGTAGTTTGTCCATTTCTTTTTTTTTTTTTGTAAAGACATTTATTCATACAAGAACTGGGGTACAGGCCAGAGGTGCGGGGAGTGAGAGCGTTCGCCAGAGACAGAGTGGGGAACAGAACAGGCAGATTGACTGCAGGCAAGACTAGAGAGGTCTGCTGAGCCATGTGGGTCACTTCCCTGCCTGTGTGTCTATCACAGATAGCTTCATAGTGCTACAATTAACCCCTTGTGCCACCTGGGAGAGCCCCTTATTTCTTAATGATGTTGTAATGAGCAATTTTTTCTTATTGTATGGCATGTATTTTTTGTGTTCTGACTTAAGAATCTTTCCCAGTCTCCAGGATTATAAAGATAGTCTGTTTCTTCTAGAAACTTTGTTGTTGTAGGTCTTACACTTATATCTGTGCTCTTTCTCAAATTTTTGTTTAGTGATGGGAGATCGGGATTTGAGTTTATTTTTCCTCTATTTGCTCCAGCAACATAAGTTAAAAAAAAACAAAAACAAAAACTTTCCTTTGTCCTTTGGATTGACTTGGTGTCTAAACTGCAAATCAGCTAAGCAATATTTTGTGTCTTAGATGTGCTTATATTTTCACTTTCTTACGAAGAGATTCTGGTTCTCTAAAAATGTATCTTTATACACTTTTTCAGATTGTGACTAGACTAAGATTGATCACTGTTTATGTACTTCCTCATAAAGGAATCCTTCTTATGAATTGGATTGTTCGATGGCTTTTCTGTAGGTTGAGTTAATGGAGGCAACCTCATTTTATCAGCAATTGTACTCTGCTCATAAGGAAGGAGATTCACGTTCAGAAAGCTCACATAGGATTCTGTTAGAGCAGGTTTAATTACAGAGCTTAATATTTTTGCTTATTGAC